AGCTCAATCACTCCTCTCCAAACACCACTAGATCAGAGGTCCCCAACCTTTTGGGCACCAGGACCGGTTCCGTAGAGAGAAGTTTTTCCACGGACCAGAGGGTGCGTGGTTTTGTTTGCTGCCTGCATTCCACGGATGGGGCTTTGCTTGCATGTGCAGACCAGTTGCTGGCATGCCGCGGCCTGGTACTGGTCCACCGACCAGGGATTGGGGACCCCTGAGCTAGATCAACTGCTCTGATAGGAACAAGACCATCACCTAATAATGACCCCAATTTCCACCCATTTTCAGCCATCCAGAAAAATACTATGGAAAATGATATTAAATGCTGCCAAGAGGTCTAAACAAATCAAGAGGAACATATTCTCAACAACTATGTCACCTACCAGAACAGAAGCTGTTTCCATCTGATGGGGTCTGAATTCTAACTGAAACAGAAGCAACATAGCCATTAAAATGAAGAACATGCAGAACTAAACAAATCACTGGCTACTTTTATTCCATCAGAACTTGTCAGGTTCTAGGGAAAATTCAATGTGTTTTCATCTATTCCATGAGGCATTATGTAAATATGGTAGTGGGACAAGTTAAAGAAAATAACTGATAGCTTTTCCACTAGTTTCACCACTAATTGCACTCCCTAATGAGGAGTTGCTCTGGGGATGGAGAGTCATATTTTGACTGGCAAGTTTACCAAACTGTTAAAATCAAATCCATGGATTAGGTGGAGGTTTTCCACCTTTCCTCTGGGTGAGTGAGAGATTCTCCGGGGATCAAGTACTGCTGTCCCCTGCCCAACATTTCACTCACTCTCTTATGTTGTCACTTATGACCTTTGCCCCCTTTATGGATTACTGCCTTGTCGTGGCGAAGGGGCTTGTGTAACTCAATGAAGCTATAAGCTATGCCGTGCAGGGCCACCCAAGACGGACAGGTCATAGCAGAGAGTTCTGACAAAATGTGATCCACTGGAGAAGGAAATGGCAAACCACTCCAGTATCTTTGCCATGAAAACCCCATGGACAGTACTAAAAGGCCTCTTGATGCAGGTGAAGAAGGAGAGTGCAAAAGTTGGCTTGAAACTCAACATTAAGAAAACCAAAATCATGGCATCCGGCCCTCTCAATTCCTGGCAAATAGATGGGGAAGAAATGGAGGTAGTGACAGATTTTATTTTCCTCTGGGCTCCAAGATCACCTCAGATGGGGACTGCAGCCAAGAAATTAAAAGACGCTTGCTCCTGGGGAGGAAAGCTATGGCAAATCTAGACAGCATACTAAAAAGCAGAGACATCACCCTGCCAACAAAAGTGCGTATAGTCCAGGCCATGGTTTTGCCAGTTGCAATGTATGGCTGTGAAAGTTGGACCATAAGAAAGGCTGAGTGCCAAAGGCCATAGGCCTTTGAACTATGAGTGCCAAAGGCCATAGGCCTTTGAACTATGGTGCTGGAGAAGACTCCTGCAAGTCCCTTGGACTGCAAGGCGTTCAAACCGGTCAGTCCTAGAAGAGATCAATTCCGACTGCTCTTTAGAAGGCCAGATCCTGAAGTTGAAACTCAAATACTTTGGCCACCTAATGAGAAGGAAGGACTCACTGGAGAAGGGCCTAATGCTGGGAAAGATTGAGGGCAATAGAAGAATGGGACGACAGAGAATGATATGGCTGGATGGAGTCACTGAAGCAGTAGGTGTGAATTTAAATGGACTCCAAAAGATGGTAGAGAACAGGAAGACTGGAGGAACGTTGTCCATGGAGTCGCGATGGGTCAGACATGACTTTGCAATTAACAACAACAACATGACCTTTGCTTGGTCTTTCCTATTCACTCGTCTCTTTCTCTCTCACTCACTTATATTTCTTTCCTTCACTCACTCACCAATTCTTGCTTTATTGCCTGATCCATTGCTCTCTCAGCCCATCACCTGACCATTGATATCACTTGCTCTATTGCCCAGTCCATTACCTATCACATACTCCTACCCTACTCTATTTCTCAATACTCCTGTCCCATTTTCCTTGCCTTGTCTCTCTTGCCTACTTGCTCAATCACTTTTGCTTGGCTGCCTTTCACTTGCTCTTCTTTCTCCCACTCATCCCCTTCCACAGATTGTACCTGAAAGAATATGGTCAACAGAAAGTTTAAAACCATTTGAAGACTTGCATTAGAGCTTTCTGCTTGCCTACTGGCCAACATGACACTTCTATCCAGAAGCAGGATATGAATGGAAAAGCTACCTGCTTTGTCCTCAGCATGCTTTTTCATATAATGAACATACTGATTTATGTATTTATTTATATACTGCCTTTATTATTTTTACAAATATTAAATCATTATGTGCTGGGAATAGGAATAGACAAATTCATGCAGGACTCGGCTCAGTGCCATTTTAAAGTTGACTGTCTTGAAGTAATGAACCTATTACTTTCTGTCTGTCATAAGTTACCAGTTTGTTATCAATGACCTTCATTGGACAACCCTAGGCAGTGGAATTATAAGAGAGGAAGAAATGTATTTCTATCCAATTTCTCTACACCATGAACAATGATTATGTCTCCCATTAATCGTCTTTCTTATAAACCTAAAAGCCCCAAATGCTGAAACCATTCCTCTAAGGGAAGTTTATTATTTTGACCATTACTTTCTGAACCTGTTCTGTATCTTTTTCTGAAACAGAGCAATGTCTGAACTCAATTCAGTATTCCCAGATTCCTAACACAGAGATTCCTAACACAAAGCCTGTTTATTCTTATATGAATTCTTATTATGATATACTAATGCTGTCTGTCATAATATCAGCATCTAGACAGACTATAAATTTCAGTTTAAGTTGGCTTGTTTTCACAAACTGTGAGATCCAGTTTCATTTTAAATAACTTGTATGTCGTTTAGGGTTACACGACATACAAGTTATTTAAAAGGAAAAGAATGGTAAGGACGCCCACATGAAAACTAAGCCATGGTTTAGCATTATATGCAAAACTTTGTAATTTTATCATACGAAAAGGTGTCCTCACTAAATCTTGCACATATACTGTATATCTTTATTTCTCAAAGGCAACTCCTGAAAAAAAGTTTGTCACTGTTTTTTTCCAGGCATTGACAACAACATAATCTGTATTAGCTTTAGTGAGTTTGCTAAGTTATTTATTTCGATATCCTTTAATCCTGTTAAGATTCATTTTATTAACTTGAAATGGAAGAACTACACAAGCCTTAAAGACAAAACATAGATCAGGTATTAACTTCATCAGAGTCAGCAAGCCGCTTATACCTTACATGAATACATTTCATGAAAGAGTACGGTGGACAACTTCCAAATAAAGAAGTGTCCAGAAACCCAGATACAACAAATCTAAATCAAATTGTTGACTTTTGTACATTTAAAAAAAAACTGCAAACATTCACAACATTCTAAAATCACATGAACAAGGTGATTTTTTTCCCAAAAAATATGGGGCTTGCGCGCTAATGTCTCACCCTCTATTTTTAAGAGTACATAGCAAGTAATCTCTGTAATTTTCTCCCAGCATTACCCAAAGAAATTCCCACTTTAAGTCATTTTCCAATGAACCACCAGGATTTCTTAGGTAGCCTTATGCATGTTAATGCTAGCTGGGTAGTAGGAGCAATGATTGACAGATTGTAACCAAAGTTTTCTCTCTCCTGGTTTTCCTTGACAGCTGTAGAAATGTCACCTTGGAAAAGCAGCAGCTGTTACAAATTATCCACTTAGCTGAGTAATCCCCTGAGTTTTAAAAAAATTATTGTAAATGAGGAAAGGAGGTTCTCCCCCCCCACACACACACACACACACACTCTTTTTGGTTGCTCTTTTGTTTCATATAAATCCTGGTTCTAGAGTTAAGAATAATAGTCTTATAAACAAGTTTCAAAACATTCTCTTCCTAGAAAGGTTCTACTTGCACAACAATAATTAAAGAAACCAAAACAGAGTCACCCTATGTAGATCCTCAATGACAAGCTCAACACTTAAATGGAATCATTGAGAGGTTTGAACATAATCCCACAAAGTAGTATGTTATTTTTTGTTCTCTCAAGGTTCTTCGGGCAAGCCTATTGCCTCAGCCTGAGTATAAAGACTGGAAGGGGGAAAAAAAAAAGACTAGTATGTAGTTGAGACATTTGAAGAAAAAAAAAAAAGCAAATTTCATGGAACACCCTTTTTGTTTAATGACCAAAATTCTGTCACACAGAAGTGTCACTTTGAAAGAGTAGAAAGACAAAATAAAAGACCCTGGTTTGTAGATTCAATGGTAACAGAAACTTGTGAATTTTAACAGACAATGTTAACTTAACTTAACAGACAATGAAAAGACTATTTATATCTCTATCTATCCGCTGCCACAAATTAATCAAACACACCCCTTATGTCCTCCACCTTCACAATCTCAGCAACTGTAACCCACTGCATTCAGATTTTTTTACCAGTTTTCAAACATTTTCCAAATGGTGAATAGCTCCCAAAGTCACTGAATTGCATATGGGATCCAAATATTGCAGCTATTGTGAACACTAGACATTTAATCCCTACTTGTTTTCCTAATAATCTGTTTTTCTTTTTAAAAAAACCAGTCTCTTTTCCCCAAGCATTAACCAACCCAAAAATGCCTTTTCTCAGTTATTGTCCCCAAATTATTTTCAAAATAATTTCAAAAATGATTCTTCAAAACTTTCCCTTAAAAATTATAGCAGTCCACATGGTTCTTCGAATGATCGAACATCTACCTCCTCCGGCGGGGATTTAAAAAGAAAAGCCAACAAATTTCTACTTCAGTTTCATTTGCTTTTGTATCTGTGTACAAAACCAACTCCAGGGCTCAGCACCTCTCACTTTTTTTAAAAAAAAAAAAAACACACAAAGCGATGCAACCACAGAGAGAAAACAGAGTTCAACAAAGTGGCCATGCACAGACAATGCTCCAGCGACAGCAGCTTTAACACAGCACAGATATCAAACATATTTTGGGTGGCATTACCTGAATCTCTCATTGTGTCTCATCCATCCCTTTCTGCCTGATATCGAGCGGGAAACGTTCAGCTGCTTGCAGGCAGGAGGCGACAAGCATGAAGCACAGTTGTGACAGAGCTTTGTTCTGCCTGCAGTGTATTACAGGAAGCCAGGGTTAGACAACAGCAGCAGCAGCAACCAGCAAATTAGGCAATCTGAGGGGCCTTTTCAGCCAGGATATGCCCATATTTGGGAGCCAGAGGGGCACAAGAATGGGGACCATTCTTTGACTTGCTTACAAGGATACCTCAGTCTCCCTCACCAGCAGCCACAGGGACAGGCAAGCTACGGCTATTACAGGTTATGTGGCCAGGCTATAGTTGCTCGTCTACATGCATGTATATATACAGCCATGGGCCAACTTGCATAATCCGATGTTCTGCAACCATCACCACTCTCTAGCAACCTAACCTACGTTTTCCTTTTTTTTTAAATAAAAAAAAAAGATGCAAAGGCGGGGGGGGGGGTTTGAGGTTTCTGAAACAAAAGCCTTGTCCCTCCCAAGCATAAGGGACAAACACACAATGCTCCCCTTTTTTGGGTTGACCCGCAATGCTCAGCCACCCCGGGCTCCCTGTTCTGTTGCCTTGCCCTTGCAGTGATCATTTCAGCCTGTCAAGCAGGATCGGCCAAATGAAAAGACTTAGACATCTGTCTCTTCTCTTTCTATCTCCTCCTCCAGAAGAAGGGGGGGGGGGTTCTGGCTGGAGATAGAGAAGAGAAACAGACAGCCTCCCCCATTTCCCTCCCTCCACCCCCACCCCCACCCCCAAGCTGCAGCTGGGTCTTTTATAGGCAGCTTGCTTGCTTGCTTGCTTTTCTTTCTCAAAAACAAAAACAAAAAAACAGCGAAAGGTTTCTCAAAAGGGGGAGACAGATGCTTAGCGTCTTCCCTGCCTGCTAGAGACTAAGATAAGGGGAAAGGTTATCTTTTCACAGCTCCTGGCTGCAACCAAGGCTTACGCAGAAAATACAAAGCTTCTCTCCGCACCGACTCCCTTCTCCGAGACCCCGCCATACAAACACGCTTGGTAGTATTCAGACCCTCCTGCTCACCCTAGTTTATAGACTCATGCAAGCTTTTTGAGCATCCCTTTCATTTAATAGGCTGCATTCTAGCTTTTTTTCGAGCCTCCCCCCTCCTCCTCCTCTCCAGCCTATGAAACATTAAACAAAAACCGAACTACACAAATTAGGATAAGTTTCTCTCCCTCTCTATTAAAAAAAGAACATGATGATGATGATGATGATGTGACGACGACGACCAATTCCCCTACGCATATAACAAATCCTCCGCGGCATTCATTCTCTATCAGAAGTGAGTCCTTTAAACTTCAGACCTTCCTTTGACGCGCGTGCAACAGTTTGAATGCAGAGGCGAACGGGTTAAACCGAGGGGAAGGGGTGCAGGAAAGAGTTCAAGACGCCACACTCCTGTCCCACACATTTACAGTGTATTTACACAAACAGACTCAACGCGTGTGCGCAGACAGACGGCTACCCGCGTGCGCCGGTCTGTCTGTGGAAATATTCCATCTCAGGTTAATGTTCCTCGCGCCCCCACCTAGAGCCGCCGGTGCCCTCTGCTATCCCGCAGCCTAAGAGCCCAAATCAGCTCCGTGGGGAGAAGAGGCTTGCGCTCTTTTATTTATTTATTTATTTCCTTAGGAAAGCCCCGCACATTTCGCTTACATTGCTCCTCCCCATCCTCGCAGCCTGCAGCCTTGCGCGCCTTGCCTGCTCCACCGTCGGCGGCTAATTGAAGACCAAGCGGTGGGTGGCGGGGTAGCAGGCGGGGGAGGAGAAAGAGCTTGAAATTGTTAGACAAGCCGCCGGAGGCGGGGCGGAAAAGCCCCGCCCCTTGGTCTCCAGCTCCGCCCCCTTGAGGAGAGGGGCTTTGTGTCTTTGCGCCTCTCGCGCGTGGCTCCTTCTTCTTCCTCTCCTCTGCAAATCCATTTTGCGCTTTTGGTGCTCGATGTGTTTGCAAAAGCGAGGCCGACGACGTGATCGTTGCAAAGTAAATGCCAGTATAAAACTGAGCCAGGCAGGCGGAAATGTCAAAGCGTCTCGGGAGTGTCAGCTTCAGACGACCACCAGTTTACGCTTCCTGGTTTAGCGTCCACTTCTTGAGATAACGTGGGGTTATTCTGGGTTATTTTCAGTGCACGCGCGCGCGCCCAGGTAGGGTTGGAGGGGTGAGACTGCTACAGGAAAAACACAAGCTTTGATACTAAAAGCAACAACAACAACTCTGTATTTTTCCAAGGAATACATTAGATTCGATCCAGGATTAAGAGCAGACCCCGTGAGAACCACGGGAAATTAATGTCGTGGTTCAATTGGATTCCATCTCCCAAATGCATAAACTGGGTTGCTGGGTTTTGTTTTGGGGGTTTTTTTTTGTCCCGTTTCACACGCCTTTTACTGCTCGCCTGTCTGACAGAAATTCAACAGGTGATGCTTCTTTACTGCAGAAGTAGAATGTAAAGCTGCATTCAGTACTGGAATAGGAAAAACATAAAATAAAAATAATAAAGATACTACCGAGCATGCTTCCTGTGTATTTCTCTTGAGTATTTTTCAGTGCTGGCTGAGCTGCAATATATACTGTTTGTGATAATGCCAGCGTCCTTGCTCACCCTTCATGGAGTTCTCCTGGGGAAGTCACGTATTTCTGATTTCCAGCTGGTTCTTGGCTTGAACTGATTTCTTGCGGTTTACCTTTTAATCCCTAATTAGCTGTATTTGAAACAAGAAATGCAACAAGAGCCATTGATCTTCATTATCTCTATTCTAAAAACAAAAACAAAAAAAGCAGCTTCCTTTTGAATTTCAGGGAGCTTCACACCATCACAGAATATAAAGCAGTGGTTCTCAACCTGTGGGTCGGGACCCCATTTGGGGTCGAATGACCATTTCACGGGGGTCACCAAACAACGCAGTCCACCATTTTTTCCCCTTTTCCTTAGCTGTGCTACTCCCTTTTATTCTATTGGCTTTTGAAAGCCTATAGAATAGACTCTCTTGAATAGAGTCTAATTCTATTGGCTTTCAAAAGCCAATAGGAATTGTCCAGGCTGTCTCTGCCCTGCTGAGCCCACCAAAAGTCCCATTCTGCAAACGGTGCTGCACCAGTTGAGTAGTCCTCGACTTACGACCGGTTGAATAGTCCTCGACTTATGAGCGGTTGGGGGTCGCGGCATTAAAAAGGTTGAGAACCACTGATATAAAGGATTTCTTTGGCCCTGCCAGAACCATTTCAGCAGCCTGGAAATTCTCAGTAATTGGCACATCATTTAATTTTAAACATTGTAACTATGTCCCTGAAAACCTCTGTTACATCTTTGCCTTAAATTAAGCAAAGCACAATGCTTAATATCCAGAAAAAATGCATCCATTATTTAATTGTTTCAAATAACTTATTACTGTTTCAAAGTGTATTAAAAATTATGAGTGTTAAACATGCAATCGTTTCTCATGCTAGCAGAAGATGCTATGCACATCTGTGTGGGAAGTAAGGCTCACTATTTTCAATGGGACTTATTCTATGTATATAGGTTCAGAGGGAAAAAGACCAAGCAGACATAGTAGGGAACATAAAACCACAGTGAAATTATCCTGGACTTGTTTATGTGAATGAGAAAAAAAGTAGAACATCTGGAAAGATAACAATTGCATCAACATAAGTTGCATCAACACACCATATGAAAGAGTCAACAGATATTAACATACATGGAGTGGAAATTAAGAAAAAAGGTACAGAGCTCGAAACAATTGCATAGGTGCCCTGATATTACCCATACTCTGTAAATAAATTTGTTAAAAAGTACACCTATTTCAGAAAGCAATTTTGAGATACGGTTCACCTGACATAATGGGTACTGCTTGCTTCAGTCCATACTGATGTGATGCGTGCTTGCAGTGACTTCAATGGGCCTGTTTGAGTCATTTATCATAGTTCACTCTGAATTCATATCTGATTTGTGTACTTGTCTAATCCACGTGATAAATTGCCTTTAAGTTTATAACCCCCTTATTGCTGTACAGCAGAGTTTCCAGAAAATTTCATATACAGGCCATAGTATAAAAAAATAACCTTGGATTATATTTGCCATTTTCTTCATACAGATAAGCACAGGCAATTTTTTAATCCCCAAGATTAACATGGGATAGGGATGGGGTGCTTAAATAGTACGTGACAAGGTGTGAACAACCTCAAGGTTAAGTCCCTCATATACCTTTACAGCCTTTCACACATTTACATAGACAACCATCAGGGATCACAATGTAAACTACTGATTAAGTTATTTCAGAGAGTCTTCTTCCTTCAGCTTCACAAGTCTCTTACTATTGCTCTTCTCCAGCCTTATGTTTGAATGTTACAACTGATGAGGACAATGTCTTCATCACAACTATTGAGTCAGACTAGCAAGCATAGTGTCAAGCTGCTTTTTATCTGTAGATATCCATTAACTTTAAAAAAATTGAAGAATTAATTTAATCCGAAGCAGTGTTTCTCAACTTCAGCAGCTTTAAGATGTATGGACCTCAACCCCCAGAATTGCCCAGCCAGCCATGCTGGGAGTTACAACCCACACACCTTAAAGCTGTTGAGGTTGAGAAACACTAGTCTAAAGCTTGGGTGTTTCTTAGGGGTTCAGCAACTCAGGATCTCATCTCAACAATATTCCCCAAACTCCAGATATGATGAACTACAGCTCACTGAGGTTGAGTTTACAGATGTTAAAGTAGGATACCTCTGAAAGATAGTGGGTTGGGTCTGTGGGCTTATAAACTAAGACAGGGGTAGGCAACCTTGGCTCTTTTATGACTCGTGGACTTCAACTTCCAGAATTCTTGAGCCAAGGTTGCCTACCCCTGAACTAAGAAACGTAGATGGTAACAGCTTTCCTGGATTGCTTTCTCAAGCAAGAATAAGAGTTAATCAGAGACCAAATTTATATTTGTTTTCACATTTTGGACAAAAGATGAGTGAATTGTGCAGGATTTTTATTTCAGAAAGATAAGGAAAAGTTTTTGATACCATATTTGATTAATACCTCCTCCATCCCCCACTCCAATCTTCAATTAAAATCGTTCCTCTGACTGGCACCAGAGAGCAGATATTACTGAAAATATCATATTTGTCTTTGGGTGGTACAAAAATCCTTCTGAGGTTACTGGATCTGAGATGAGTCATTTACATACTGTATCTGAAATCCTCCATTGACGTAGGCAAATAGTGAGAAACAAGTATTTGTGAATCAACTTTGCATTATAGTAAAATTAACTATATGCCTAAATAACAGCTACTATACGTATTTTTTCTTAGGATGGTGTGATTTTTTTCACCTGTTTGATGCTATTTTCTGAAAGGGGGGTGTAATGCTATATTGTAAGATTTATCCATTAATTATTAACAGTGCAAGACCCTCTGATAAATTATTTTGTATGACCCCTTCTTAAATAAAATAAACTATATTGATGTTAGGATTGTATAGGAAATAAATATTTTGCTTTTAATAATCAGATTTTAATTTGCTATCACAGGGATTCTCCATTTTTTTCTGCACTATTTTTAAAAAGTATTATTAATACATTATATTATTTTGATACAGTGATATTTGTAGTCATTGAAGATTAACAATTTAATCTTTATATAACTTAGACCAGTGATGGCGAACCTTTTAGAGACTGAGTGCCCAAACTGCAACCCAAAACCCACTTATTCATCGTTGAGTACCAGGTGGGTGTGGCCCATTGGCTGGGTGTGGTCAATTGGGTGGCATGGCCAATTGGGTGGGCGTGGCTGCAGTGGTAACGGCAGACTGGGTGGGACTAAAAAGTTCAATCAATCAATTCCAACTTTACAAGATCTATTTTTTCCTGCAAGAAGTTGAAACTGACTGATTGAACCTTTTTTTTTTTTTGCACATGGCAGTGGAGGCCTAAAGCGAAAAAGTTTTATAAAACCCAGCTGAAGGCCTAGGACCTGGGCGACAGCGTGCGAGCCCACAGAGAGGGCTCTGAGTGCCGCCTCTGGCACCTGTGCCATAGGTTTGCCACCATTGACTTAGACTATTGATTATTGATAACTTAGAAATGATAATCAGGCAACGAATCAGCGAATACCTAGAGGAAAGCAAAGTCATTACCAAAAGCCAACATGGGTTTGTCAAAAACAGATCATGCCAGACAAATCTTATTGCATTCTTTGACCAGGTTACAAAATTAGTGGATCAGAAAAATGCTGTGAATATAATTTACTTGGACTTCAGTAAGGCATTTGATAAAGTAGACCACAACCTACTACTTGATAAGTTAGAAAAATGTGGGTTAGACAGCATCACCACTAGATGGCTTTGTAGCTGGCTGACCGCTGTACTCAGCATGTCCTCAATGGAACTGCATCTACATGGAGGGAAGTGTGTAGTGGGGTGCCCCAGTGCTCTGTTCTGGGCCCAGTGCTCTTCAACATCTTCATCAATGATTTGGATGAGGGGATAGATGAGGAACTCATCAAATTTGCAGATGACACCAAACTGGCAGGAATAGCCAACACTCCGGAAGATAGGCTTAAGATACAAAAGGATCTTGACATTGGGCACTATCTAACAAAATGAAATTCAATGGTGAAAAAAGTAAGGTTCTACATTTAGGCAAGAAAAACTAAATGTACAGGTATAGTATAGGTGATACGTTGCTCAATAATAGTAACTGTGAGAGGGATCTAGTAGACCTAGTAAATATGAGCTAGCATTGTTCTGCAGCTGCCAAAAAGGCCAACACAGT